TGTTGCACCTATGACGAGGTTACAGTCGCCAAAGGTGCCATTCGTATTCGATGATGCCGCACGCCGGTCATTCCAAGCACTTAAGACGGCTATGCTCATGGCACCCGTCCTTAGCATCTATGACCCCACCCTGCCAACGCGAGTGACTACGGACGCTTCCGGCTATGGCATTGGGGCAGTCTTGGAACAGCACGACGGCGATGACTGGCACCCTGTGGAGTATTTCAGCCACAAAGTCTCCCATCAACTCGCTTGATGATGCAAGGAAGAAGGAGCTGCTCGCATTCGTCATGGCCTCTCAAGCGATGGCGGCACTTCCTCCTTGGGCGCCGTAGGTTCACATGGGTCACGGACAACAATCCATTGACTTACTACAAGACGCAGGACACGGTGAGCAGCACGATCGGACGATGGATGTACTTCATCGACCAATTTGACTTCACACCGAAACATATGCCCGGCCTCTCAAATCGCGCAGCAGATGCACTCTCGCGAAGACCCGATCTTTGCGCTATGACACATCATGCCTTCGCATTTGACAAGGAGCTTCAGCTACACTTCATCCGGGCATATCAGTCTGATATGGACTTCGGCACGCTCTATGCAGAGCTATCTTCGGATCACCCGCCGGCCAGCCATTACCGCATTGCAGACGGGTACTTGCTCCTCCACTCGAGAGGCAAGGACTTACTATGTGTCCCACGCGACCGTCGTCTTCGGACTCGCCTCCTTGGCGAGTATCATGATTCACGACTCGCCGGCCATTTCGGAGTCAACCGCACTATTGCACGGCTTCGACAGCGATTCCGGTGGCCCGACCTCATTACCGATGTCACTCGGTATTGCGACTCTTGCGAATTTGCCGCTCAGCAAGCCCCGCAACCGCAATCCCTACGGCGAGTTACACCCGATGCCTATCCCACGGGAACCCGATCTCTCCATTGCCATGGACGTCACCGGTCCATTTCCTCGCGACCGGCTCGGGCACGACGGCATCCTCACGGTTGTGGACCAATTGAGTAAGTACGCACGTTTTCTCCCTTGCAAGTACTACTCCACGGCTCCCGAGCTGGCACGCCTCCTGCAAACTGGTTGGATTTGTGGCCACAGTGTACCAGAAGACATTGTCAGCGACCGCGACACTCGTTTCATGTCGGCGTTTTGGACTGCTCTCATGTAGGAGTCCGGCACAACAATGAAACCAAGTTCGGCTCGACATTCTCAGACAGATGGGCAGACGGAGCGGGCACATCAAACCGCTCAAATGATGCTTCGTACGCTCATTCGTCCGGACCAGAAAGATTGGGTTGACCGCCTCCCCGACATCGAGTTCGCCTACAACACTTCGGTGCACCCGGTGATCGGCGTGACTCCATTCGAGTTGCACCACGGTGGACGGAAAGGCCGCATCTTCGCCGACCTTCTCCTCCCTTGACCAGCCGACATTGACGCCKCTTGCTCCCCCGCYTCCGTTCGGAAGTACAGGGAMTTGCTGACTCAAGCCCGCRCAAATATGCAAAAGGCTCAAGTYCGCATGCAGCAGCAAGCCAACAGGCGTCGYGTACCATGTCCCATCCGYGCCGGTGATYTGGTTTGGGTCTCYRCRGAAGAGTTTGCACTGGAACAGGAYGTTTCACGCAAACTGCTTCCCAAGTGGTTTGGACCTTGGTCTGTGACAGCAGCCGCGGGCGATGAGCCCGATGGCCCTTTATTTGTGATCAACATTCAAGAGCATCTGACGGTCCATCTGGTCTTCCACGCCTCGAAGCTGGCAACATACACGCTAGCCAAGAGCGACGACTTTCCGGGCCGACGATCGCAGGACCCTCCTTCTATGGATGGTCATCAGGAAGTTGACCGCGTCATCACCGATCGCAAGTACAGCAGCAAGCCGCGGCAGTACAAAGTCACATTCAAAGCATGCGATCGCGACGACACTCGGTGGATTTCAGGAGCAGATTTGAAAGCATCCGCACTGCTGATATACGCTCACTATGAACGTCAAAGGTTAGCCAAGGGACCTCCACGACCCGCCCCTCCCACCCGGACTGTGGTCCCTCCCTCAGACAGACAGCTTCGCCCTCGCAGGTAAGCTCGGTCTTTCAAGGAGGGGGGGGTGTGGCATACTGCGTAGCCACACGGGCCCTGTAGGACCCGCCCCGGACATTCAGCCTTAAAGCCTAAAACTTAGGAGCTACAGGCCCCGGTCGTTTCAGCCTGAAAACTGAAAAATGAGGGTCTGCAGGCCCTACTCCATTTCAGCCTATTTCTGGGTCTTTCAGACCCAGAGTTTTTCCAGCCTGAAACGGAGGGCTATTCTTAGGCCCTGGGCTATTCTTAGGCCCTCATTTGTTTCGACCTGCCCTAAGATTCAGGCACGAAAACTGTGTTTCGGAACAGGCTATTTCTGGCCTGTTCCCACGCCAGCTCGAGCAGGAGCTGCAGCTGCAGCCCCTGCCTCCCTACGGCATTATTGGCATTAGCACGAGTAGGAGTTGCAGCTGCAGCCCCTGCCTCCCTTCGGCATTATTGGCAAGAGCAGCCTCCTGAACTGCTCGCCCGAGTCAGAAGGCTCCCGTGATAGAACATAGGAGCTTCAGGCACTGAACGGGTAGGCAGTTGGAGAGTAGGACGGTAGTCTTCAGATTTTCGGCCGCAGCACTCAGGAGGAGCGCTGCAGTAGTCTTCAGCGCTAGGCAGTAGTAGTAGCGCTAGYTGTAGTCATCAGCGYTGGGCGCCATAGCCATAGCTGTAGTCATCAGCGCTGGGCGCTAGTAGGAGGTAGAGCGTAGAGTTGGGAGAGGTACTGGCGGAGGCCAGTGGTACTTACCTGTGGCGCCATCGCTCCAGCTCCATCTTCGAGGTACCTGCATCAAGGCGCCAACTTCACAGGTTAGTACTGGGCTGAGAGAGAGAGAGAGAGAGAGTTCTTCTTCCTCTTCTTCTAAGTCCACTATCTCTTCTTCCCCTCTCACCACCTGACTTCTCAGTATCAGCGGACTACTACAGAGAGAGAGAGAGTTGTGACATGAGACTTGACGACATTGGATCCAGACTCGACATTGGCATTCAGACATGTTGACGAGGGACTATTTGGGCCTGTGCTGAACACTTGGTGTCGACGACATTCCCATCTTCCCTTCTTCTTCGTCTAACCCCACCTCCTTCGTCTGTGTATGGTTGGGGCTGGCGCAGTCTTCTTGTGTGAAGCGCCAGACCCCTTCACACCATGATGATGATGATGTATGTTCGGGGCTGCATTACAATATTGATTGTTCGGATCATTGGTATCTAAGTCTTCCGCTGTGCTATCTTATACTTTGTATTGAAAGGTCGGTTCTTGGTCTGGTCTGCACCTACACGGTATGCAACAGCACCCCCTCCTATCTGACTTCCTGGTCGCTCCAGTCTATTGGTGGGGAGCTACACCTGCTGGAAAACGGGTCCGGCATCCCTTTGTACATAAAAAAAAAAAACGAGAGTACTATCCACCTGCCAGCATTGATTGCCCTGAAAACCAGGGGATCGACTGCTCAGATGGCAAGGGGAGAGAGAGCGATATTGAGAGACATTTAGAGGAGGGCCTCTTCAGGCCTGCTGCAGGGCGCACAACAATTGCTAACCACCTAGCCACCCTTCATCCCATTCCAAGGTCAGCAGTGTGACTTGCTTCATGTTGCTAGTGTCATGCCCGGGGGGCCACCGGGAGATAACACCGTGGTCAGTTTGGGATTACAAGCAGAGAAAGGGGGCGGGGCGGGACGGGATCCGGGAACTCGGGAGGGGATCTCATCGGAAGGAAGGCTCGATATTACTCCAGTCATTAAATACCAGGTTATACTCTCTGGAAGGACCTTGTCCTATCAAAACCGTCCGATGGCCCCCCCCCACTCAACCCATACTATCCATCCCCCCCAACTGTCCTCCTAGCCAGTCCGTGCAGAAGGACGTAATTGCCCTCTGAATATCCCGGTCATTGTGGAAGATATCAAGTTGAGCTTTGAGCTTGCGCCACCTTTATGCTAGCTCCAGCTCAATGGGCTCTTTGACTTGCCTTGTCAGTTCCTCACCTTCTACCCTGGCCCCTTCCAGCGCCAGGGCACAACGCTGCCACCACAGCACCCATAGGATCGTCCGTCTGCCTAATTTGTACCAACTGTTCTCAAATGTGGATGCTTGTGCAAATGCAGTGCAGTGACCTACTCAGTGATCTGCGGCTGTCCGATGCCAGAACGACACTGGCCGGTGCTGGGGTGTTGCCCTGTAACCTGCTGATGCAGGAGTGTGAGGCCTGGTAGAGAGATCTGGGAATGCTTTGGGGTGGGCATTCCAAGGGACAACTACGGGTTGCTGCTGGGACGATGCTGGTCGGAGCTGGGGCGAGTCGTGTTGCCCTGTAACCCAACAGGGTGGGGGTACGAGGCCTGGAAGAGCCCGGCAGGGAGTAAGACAGTGTTGGAAGAATTTTAGAAGGGATTGCTAGGGATTCTGAGGGTTTCTGAGCATTTGTAGGACCTTTGTGGTGGCGATTTTTTCTCAAAAAGTTCAGAATCTTTTTATAGTCCCTTCGTGCAGCGTAGAAGGAAACTTCTCATTATTTTTCTCCTCGTATTCTTTCAGATTTTTTCAGACCCTTTCTGAATTTTAGCCTATCTCATGGGAGTTCTTTATCGAATAGGCTAGTAATTGATCACGATCCTTTTCAGACAAAAACGGGTAAGAGCCCTGGTATCTCAAAGTTTTTTTGTATATGTTCTCAAACATGTTTCATGTTTCAAATGGGACGCTGGGCCCGGTTCCCAGCACGTGCGGCTCCCCACGAATAGATTGGAGCATTGTTCCCATTAAAAAAAAAAAAGTATGGCTTGCCAGGACCATGGCCAAGGTGTGGTAAGACCCATTTTCCACCAGATGCGATCCCAGCAGCGCCACGTTAGCAATGCAACAGGGCACTCCGTAAAAATATGTTTGATAGTCTCATTCCGCTTTTGTGGGGGGTAGGCCGCGGCTCATCTCTGGCATCATCATGATGGGAGCGCCGCCCCTTTGTGTTCCAAGCGGATGTGGTCAATCAGCCAAGCATTTGCTGTCAGGCAGCGATGAGCAATCTGCCACTGCAAGGATGTGATTTTGGCTGGCATCACCTCGGTCTCGTTGAACCATTTGATCGGTGTCAAGAGTGTTCTGTCAACATTCAGGTGCTTGGCCCATCTGTCTATTACCACATCCCGGAGTGTTCTCTTAGGCCGGAACATCTTGTATGTGGACTTGACTGGCAGGGAGTGCAAGTGAATCCTTTTGTCAGAGAGCACCCTGGGCCTTCGTACTATTCGCCACTGCCACTCCTGGGTGTCCAGGGTCAACTCCTGGATGGGTGTCTGTGGCAGGAAAGCCCTGGCCTCTTCACCCTCCCCCAATACCCATATCCTAAATACATCCGAAACGTCCTGCCACTTGAAAGGGTTGGTGGATCCCCGAAGCTGGTTCCTTGCATTTATCGTATAATGTTCAGCCAGCACGTCTGTAGACCGCACCATATGGATTCTGCCTATCATAGCAGGGTCATCCAAAGGCCACCTAATCCCCCTCCTGAAAGCCAGGTCCCTTTTTGAGCAGCCTGTAGCAGGCGAGCCGGATTGTTTCTATGATTAAGTCTAAATGGCTTTCTATGTGGTGGCAATACCTCAGGGAGCCCCGCAGCTGGGCCGCTGTCTTCCTGTCCTTTTCCTGATCCCATAAAATTTGAGCTGACATGTGTTTGTAGTACCAGCAAGCTGCATGGTCCTTTTTTTTCTTTCTTTTTTTAATGGGAACAAAGCTCCAATCTATTTGTGGCAAGCTGCATGGTCCACCTACAGAGAGAAGAAATTTGACAGGTAGAACTACAGTGCAGCCTAGGTCGGTTGCCCACTTGATGAGAGGCGGTTAACGGAGGCCCTAATTTTCAGACAACTTGTCATGCCATGTATAACAAAATCCAAGGGTCATTTTAACCAAACTTGCCACCACGTTACTTGACAACACAGAGTAGGTGGTAGTACACAGGATTGCCATGGCTGCTACTTAGAAAGTTGAAAACTTGTTCGCAGTGTTTCACTTCGCATGGTTAGCCCAGCAAGCATCCCTTTTTGTCGGAGTCTGTATTCACCGATCCTCTTCCCCTTGTTGTCCAGTAGTACCATCCCTGTGCAATGGGATTTTCTTGAGGCTGGGA